CTTCTTAGTAAGCCCCCATAATCATCATGCATTCTTAGAGAAAATCTATCATGATTAACATTTGGGGATAAAAAAAATACAGTCACTATAACCTGATCTGACCACTCTACCTTGGATTCATCTGGCCTACCAGATCCCCTTGGAAGCTACAATTTTGACTGGACCTTGCTCTCTTGATCACATCAGTAAATCCAAGACACATCCCAGTTACAACTCCTTGTATAAAATCATCTTTACTAGTTTCCCTTTTGCTTAAAAGACTGATGGAAGATCATCTTTGAGCTAACTGATCTTCAGTAAATGCTTTTGGCACTCATCAAGCCTAAAGCTTCCTGAAGCCAAGATATTTTCTGAAAATTAATAATGCCAAACCATGTGAGATACCAACTTCAGCAACTATTGCACCGATGGTAATTCTATGGCCATCTTCTACCAGTTCCTGGACTTCAACCACAGTTTCTTCATTCCACAGGGTTGACAATCTTCCCTCTCATAACTCATCTTTGAGGGTTTTCCAATCTTCCTTAAAACACTTGATCCATCTAAACTTCGATGTTTTATGTGAGGTATTATTTCCATAAGCATGTTTCAAAGCTTCAGTGATTTGAAAAGAAATCTACTTTAGTTTTGTTAGAAATCTGATATTAGCCTTCACTTCAAAATTTTTTTCCATGACACAAAAAACATCCTTTTTTGAAGGCACCCTAAGAAGACTAAGAAGAGTATATTACTGAAAGGACTTGTCTTCAGTCATTTACTGATTTTAGAGACACATTTAAACATGTTTTGTTTAGAATAAACTTTTACATGTATAAACTGGAACCCACTGTAATATATACCCTTGCATATTATGCCAATTGACTGAGTTGCCCCACAAGACTATTGCTTTCACCTTTCTCCTTCAGTATACGACTCTCACAAGGTGCTTGTTTCTAAGAAGTATCAGTAACTATACCCCCGGCATGAATTATTATATGTTTTTCTTATGTTAAGTGCTGTTAAGTCAGTTATAACTCATAACAACCAGGTATAGGTTCCTGAGGAGTGGCTGGTGAATTTGAACTGCCAATCTTGCAGTTAGCAGTCCAGTTCTTATCCTACAATGCCACACCATATATATGCATATTTACACA